GCTCCGGCTGTTTTATTCGTTTCTTCTGGCAAAATCAGGCTGAATCTATTTTAGATCGCGCTGAAAGCGCTACAGGCAGCTACACGGACGTCTCAGCTTTTGATTGACACCTAGTTTGGCCAATAGGAGGGCTTTGGGGGTGAGTGACAGCCTGAAGGGCCAATGGAGTGTCTCAGACAGTCAACCCGGTCCGCACAAGTCCCACCCTTGTAGATTCGACCAGTCGGGTTGCAGACACTGTCTGACGCTGTACACTTGTAGCCAATGAGCAGAAGAACACGTGGGGGTGTCGGAAGGCAGGATTGTGTGTGTGTGTGGTGGTGTCGAATCGGCCAGTTACCACTGTGAAGGAAATCATCCGATACCGGAATTTCGTCTAGTATCGGACCGATACCCAGTATCGGATCGGCGCATCTCTAATTTCTACCCTGTGTGTATATAAATGGGAAAAAATATTGGTCACACTTTTCAATGTGCACCACCATCACCCACTATGACTTCAACAATAGACATAAAGTAGAATTATCTGGCAACATCAGCAAAAACCGAAAGCTGCTATCAGTAGCAGCTTTGTTATTACTGTAATTACTGGCAGAGCTGCTGTATTGAAATGTATTGTTAAACTAATAAAGAAAGCTTTTTAAAGTAGAACACTGTGATGATAGCAGCTTTAAATTAACACATATGCACCGATAATATAAGCATATTTAAATTACCTTTCAGAAGGGAACATATATATATATATATACATGTAGAAGAAAAGTAAGATGTAACCAGATGAGGTAATTAACTCATGAATGACATTATCATTGAGGTTTAGTACTAGAATGAATGTAACTCTACTAACTAGTGAAGTTGTAGTTTACATTCAAGTCTATCCAGTTCTGACCTTCAACTTTTTAGGTCATTACTTCATCATTTTGTGAAATTTTTTAAATTTCTGTGTGATTTTTTTTTAAGGAATTAGCAACGACTTGTGTTTTGTGAGGTGACACAGACCTTGACTTTAGACCTTTGACCACTTCATTCTTGTCAGTTCATTGTTAAGTCCATGTGAACGTTTGCAAAATCTGAAAGTATTCCCTCCATGAAGATACTGAGATATTCAAAGGCTATCACAATCACGAGAATGAAAAAGACCGATGGAGCCTGGAAATAATTAAGAAAATTATCTCTATGGGCTTGATGCTAAACTTGGAGTCTATGATTATTTACAGAATTCTTCATCATTAATTTTTTAGGTTATTATTATTTTAAACACATTGAGACACTTTTAAACCGACCAAATAGAAGATCATTTTAAAGGTCAAGTCCGCTTTTTTTCCTGCAATTTAACTTTATTGCTAAGATTTGCATGTTGGATAATTTGTGTAGTTATTATAACCAGACAAAATGATGATTTAAGGATATTATCATCTGCTTGCCATTTATGTCTGTGTGTGTGTGTGTGTGTGTGTGTGTGTGTGTTTATGTGTATATATATGGCATGGATCCTTGTTTGTGTTGTATCTACTCTCAGATGTATGCTGCTTTGGATAAAAGTGTTTACAAAACGACATTGTAGAACTGTAGAATATATGCTACATATAGCAGAGGAGCACAGAAAATACACCACAACATCCCCAGTCTTACGCAAGAAAAAAGTTTTACTTCAAAATTCTCACGTCGGCAAGGACAATCAGTACACTCTCCACAACAAGTGAGTGCACGACAATAACCTGGACTCATATTCTAAATGCTTTGTCTCAGGGTTACTGTGACAGGTGCAGCTCATTTGTTTTTCTCTGACTTTTTAGCAAAAATGTGCATACATTCTTTACCAAAAGACTTTGTAGGCCTACGTCTCTGTCAAGGTGACAGGACAGTTGCCCATGGGACAAATTCTTACAAAACAAGAAATAAACACACTAAGCTTATAACACCTTAAATCATCTGCACTTTACTTTAGTATCTTATAATGTTTATTATTATTATGCTTTATATTCCTACTGCACGAGATTACTGATGGAGATATTTTCTGCATTGCATTCATGTGACAGTTTCAATTTATAAAATCCTGTCCTCAAACGTGGTCCTTGTTTTGATTTGCTTCCCCTGTTGCTACAAACAAGGGTTCTTGGTCCTGCAGAGACATTTTATTCTGAGTGCAATTCTTCATTGGGAAAACTCTTGGTTACATTTGCTCTATAATCAACTTATCTGGCCTCATTCAGTGTGGAACATGTGCTGACAGGACTGACTGTTTCCTGAGAGTGAAACAAAAATGTTTCCCCTGAGAGCAGATGAAAGATGGAGAATAATCCTTGTGGCTGAGGTATAATGATGTTTAAGAAACTGTATATTTGTGTTTGCAGGAACAGGTTTGGCTCAAAGTGTTGGTTAATTTTGAGAGGAGCTGCTGTGACTGGCTGTTGCTGTACTGTTACTGCTGCTTCTCTTGACTCCACCTGCTGCTGTCATCAATGTTTCATCATCAATAATGAACCTGAGCAAATGTCTGTCTGTCTGTCTGTACTGATTTTACAGAATACAGGCTACAATGTGGAGTTGAAGCTTGGCAGTGGTTTTAAGGTAGAGGTGTGGTGTAACAGAACCTGAATATGGTTGTTATTCAAACTCATCACAACCTATGATATCAAAAATAATAATTAATTCAGCATCAAGTCAAAATGAGTAAATGGCTTTTAATGGTCATTATTGCAATTGTTATTATTGCATACTGTAATTGTTGCAGAACTTTGACAAAACTTTGTCGTTCTCCATCTGCTGACACTCAGGTGTCCTCACTCCAGCTCGGTCTCTGCTTTGGAGTAGATGGTGATGATGAAACCTGACGTCTTGTCGGGATCAAATGTGCTGGGAACGATCAAGTACTCTCCCGGCTCCAAACTATGCATCTCAATCAGCTCCCTTGTCTCATCAAACGCGCTGATTTTAAGTGGTGATTTAACGTTGAAGAGCGACGATGGAAGTCGCCCTTTGGGTGCCTGCAAATATTAGAAAAGGGAAATTTGCTTTTATTTGTTTATGTATGGAAGCTTTATGTTTGCCTTATATTCATGTCTTTAAGCAGAAAGATGACAAGTAATTCTTTTCTTACCCCTGGTGGCACCTGTTCAGAAATAAAGGACAAGGAAATAAGTATAACTGTTGTGTACATGTGCACATCTTTATTCACAGATCCACAAACGTCAACACTTTACTGACCATGAAGATGTTGAACCCGATGTAGTGATATTTAACTTTGCTGCGAAATTCTTCATCAGGTTTCTGCATCAGAGACAGTAAGATGTTGTTGCCTCCTCTGCTGTCTTTCACTGTGAGGCGGTACTGTGGATTTATCCAGAACTCCTCTGAAGAAAAGTGCANGCTGTTGAAGGAGCTACTGAAAGCCCCCACAGCAGGGGTGTCGAACTCCGGTCCTCGAGGGCCGCAATCCTGCAAGTTTTAGATGTTTCCCTCTTCCAACACACCTGATTCAAATGATCAGGATCGTTATCAGGCTTCTGCAGAGCTTGATGATGAGCTGATCAAATGAATCAGGTGTGTTGGAAGAGGGAAACATCTAAAACATGCAGGATTGCGGCCCTCGAGGACCAGGATTGGACACCCCTGCCCCACAGTCTCGTGCAGCGGGTGAGGGGGGTTGTCCATGATGGATGGGAGCTTTGCTAACATCCTCCTCTCACCCACCTCCTCTATGGGGTCCAGGGAGCAGTCCAGGACAGAACCGGCCCTCCTGACCTGTCTGTGCTCCCTCCTCCCCACCAGACCACTGCATAGAAAAGAGCAGACGCCACCAGAGTGTTATAAAATGTCCGGAGCACCGTCCTGCACACTCCAAAGGACCTCAGTCTCTTCAGCAGGTGGAGACGACTTTCCCTTTCTTGTACAGGACATCTGTGTTGTTGGACCAGTCCAGTTTATTGTTGAGGTGAACCAGGAATCTATAGGTCTCCACCATCTCGATGTCCAGATCCTGGATGTTCACCTGTGCAGTCTGGGGTGTCTTCTGCCTACGGAACATGTAAAAGCAGTTACTGATAATTTGAACCGACACAATGAGGAGTTTAAGTCTGTAACTGCAATGGGCAAAAAAAAAAAGACTTGTTCTGGTTGTTGTCTCTATATATAGAAGAAAAGTAAAATGTAACCAGATGAGACAATTAACACATGAATGACATTATCATTGAGGTTTAAAACTAGAATGAATGTATCTCTACTAACCAGTGAAGTTGGAGTGTACATTCACGTCTGTCCAGTTCTGACCTTCAACCTTTACGGTCATTCCTTCATCATTTTGTGATTTTAACTTCTGTGTAGATTTTTGACATATTTGGCATAAATGTGTGTTTTGTGAGGTGACACAGACCTTGACTTTAGACCTTCGACCACTTCATTCTTGTCAGTTCATTGTTAAGTCCAAGTGAACGTTTGTAAAATCTGAAAGTATTCCCTCCATGAAGATATTGAGATATTCAAAGGATATCACAATCATGAGAATGAAAAAGACCGATGGAGCCTGGAAATAATTAAGAAAATTATCTTTCTGGTCTTGGTGCTATTTTGGAGTCTATGATTATTTACAGAATACTTTATCATTATTTTTTAGGTTATTATTATTTTAAACACTTTGAGTCACTTTTAAACAGGAGAAAACTCACTGCAGCATCACCTACCAAATAGAAGATCATTTTAAAGGTTGATTCCATTTTTTTCCCCCTACAATTTAACTTTGTTGCTAAAATTTGCATGTTGGGCAATTTGTGTAATTATTATAACCAGTTGAAATACGGATATTATGTATATATATATATATATAATGTTGTTCTGTATTTGGTGTCTCACGTTAATGTGTTTCGATTGTCAGTTTTGTCTATATAACGTAGGAACCTTTCTGTCTAGGTAAGGTTTCGAAGCGGAAGGGGACAAACCAGTTCTTGACTGCTGAGCAACACGCTGA